CCAAGGCACATCTCAGTTTCTGCTGTCTTGTGTTTCTTAGGATAACATAACCAAAAATACATTATTTACAGCATAAAAACCCCTGGAATTGACTTTCATGAAGTTGCTTAACTGCACTGAATTTTAAATTGCCTTTAAAAATTGCCTTCCTAATTTATCTTTGGATTCCCAGGCAGGGAATAAAAAATTTTTTAAAAATATAACAAGACAATTATTTTTTTTAGATAGCTTTGGAATTCCTTTTTGTCTTAACTAGGTCTGAAAGTCAGTGTATATATGTTCTTGTTCTGCAGGAAACAAATTTTTGGCAAAAAAAATAAAAAGGCTGTGGTATGTCTCTGAGAAGGAGGGATTTCTATTTATATGATTTATTGGTTAAAACCGACTAAATCATTGAAACTGGTACCTGCAGTTAAATATGAATTATTAATTCAACATAGTAATAAACAAAATTACATCATTCTCAGTGCCCCTAATTAGAAATAATCCTCATCAATCTTCTAACACCACTCCTTTTGCTTCACTAAAGTGATTAATTTGAAAACCAGTCTATTTTCATAAAAACAACTGAGGCAACAAACTGGTCTCTATTTACCCACTTCTGAAGCTAAAAAGGAAGATACACTCAACACAGAATATATAACCTCTTTCATTTATTCATTTGATATTAACGTGGATGACACTTATGCTCCTGGTTATCACAGATTTAATGGGAAAACAAGAAAACAAAAGGCAAATTTGCTGACTGCTCACTGTGTTAAAGGGAGCTCAGTTTAATTTTGTGTCTTCTTTGCTGTTCCCTTGGTTCTGCAGGTAAATTGCAGCAATCACCACCCTGTAGTAGTGTAGAGCAGGCAGACCTGTTCCCAGAAAAAGTGGACTCTCTTAGGGGGCTCACGCTAAAGGGCCCTAAAATCACTCTTGCCCTTGAACCCCTTCTTCCTGTTCTGAAAAACAGAGGCTAAAGACAGTCAGTTCTATTTTTAGAGGAGAACCCAAGACTCCAAGCACTTCTACTTTAACAGCTCCTTGTGTTGATGCAAAGACCCACATTATGGAAAATTAAATTGGGACTTTCTGACGGGTTTGGGGATGTTTTTTCTTTTCACGCTTCAGCATCAGAGCCAAAGTAACGAAAGCACAGCAGCAGATGAAGGCAATAGGTGCCAATACAGAGGACAGTGGGCATTTTTATCATCCAGATGCAAGTTTATGTTTGCCATAAGATACTTACATCTTTGAAGGCTTCCTATTTAGGTATTTACAGTGGATTGTGTCCCTTGTGTCTTTCAGTGGAAAAAGTGCACTGATGGATGTAGCTGCAGGGGGTTGGTGGGTCAGGTAGAGGTTGCAATTTTGTCGGAGCAGCACAGAACATTTTGCAGGTTTGTCAGACCTTGTGTTTCAAATATCTTCGAAATGCAAGCGCCAAAGGTCCAATAGACTGTCCTCTGCATTGAAAACTGTGACATGAATGATTATGAAACACGTGGAGCTGCATCTATGGAGGGGAAAGTAAGCTTACAAGATACGTTTTTAATGGGACTTCTGGAAGTCGCTTGTTGTTTGTGGTTTTTTAAACTGTAATGTATTATTTAAAGATAAACACAGCAGTAACAAATTATTTAGACAAAGTAAAGATAAGTTAAACAGCCTGTGAATTTCAGTTTACTTGATTTATTCTCCTCTAGATGAAAATGCACAGAACAAAATCCAGGGAGCACATGTGCAGGCCACTGCTTACAGAGAAATCTCTTCAAGCTTCCAGAAGCAAAAACATTTGCAGACACTGTAGTGTGTGTGTCTTCAGACACATGATGATTCAGCAGAATAATCTGTTTCAGTTAATTAAGTTATTTCTCTTTTTACTGACATACTTTCTCCTGTTCTTGAACTGCAGGACCTGCCATGGTTTCACAAGTAACTCCTGTGAAGCAACCCAGCCAGAGGCACGGAGATACCTAATATCTGAGACAGGAGCTAGGGGATTCATGCTGTAACTGTGTTAACAGGGTTAAATTCAGGTTTATGCCATAGTCACGGTCACTAACGCTCAACTCCCTGGTTGGCTGAGGAACTCCCCATCAGGTGAAGCAGATCGAAGCTGGAGGTTTTGATGGTGTGGCACGACAGAACTGGTTTTGCTGGTACAACGCATTGAAGTATTAAAAACTTTACAAGTCAAACACAGTTATTAAATGACTAAGTTGAAGAATACATCCTCCCAGAACGAATGGGGCCACTTCTGGCCTGTGGAATAATCCTATCAAGCTCAAATATTTCCTGCACAGCCCAAATCCTCCCCCTTTCTGCCATCACTCAGAAAGCCACTCCAATGTGCGCAGAGGAGAATGGTTGCAAACAGTTGTCTCTGCAAGGGGTGGATGGTCACAAAACCTTTTTTAAAGTGTTTCCTCCTCGTTGGACTAAAAAGGAAACATCTCTGCAGTCTGTCTCCAGGTATTATTGCATCCCTCTGTTCACTTCTACAGCTTTGAAGACTTTGCAACTCTTCTTTAAACCAAACGTGGATTTCTGGAGTATTTTTCTCCCATAGACAAAGTAGCAAATTCTGCAAACCAGTTGCAGGGAACTTGGGGATCTGCTTGTTATCACTGCCTCACACTGAAGAAATGAAATCAGAGACAGAAGTTATGGTTGTATTATAAAAAAAAATGCCAAGAAGTAAAGTAAATGGTCCCTCACTGAGCTTTCTGGAATGTCACCAGAATATAATCGGTGTCCGTGCCAGCCATGTAGGCACACATGGTATGGACGTTACAGTGGTACTCGAGAAAACTGCTCTGCTTATGTAGTTTAAGTCAAATCAGGAACAAAGTAATTTATTGATTTTTTTTTTTTAAATAACAGATAATTAAATGGCAATCACAAAGCTATACATTCAGGATCACTATGACATATATGACAATATGGCAATATGACATATAAACAACATTACTAGACAGCCAATAGTTATTAAAACCCTACAATTTTCTAAAGACCCTTTTATAACTAGTTCCAAAAATGTTCTAAGTGTGAACACACACACACGGAGTCATTTGCACACTCCCACAGATCTAGACCCCCTGCTGTGTGTGCTACCAGCACACATCCCCTCTCCTAGCACTGCGGGGTCTCCTTCTTGCACATCCTCTCTGGGAGATGTGGGTGCTTCATCTTCACGTGTACCTCTGCCACTCCTCACACCCCACTGACCCACATGCTGGTGACAAACACCACCAAGAGTCACCCCTTCCCACACAGTGTGGGTCCCTGTGTCCTGCCCCTGTGTTGTCACCTCATGAGCAGGGTGCTGATATCTCTGTGTCTGGTGGGGAGGGTTGTTTGGGGGGCATCAACATGGACCTGAGAGGGTTGCTGGAAAGGTGACCTCTGCTCATGTCAAACCCAGGCTTACTGCTTTCCTGAAGGACTACACTCTGTGGAAAGGAGTTGTGCTGGAGCAGTTAATGAGGAGCTGCAGCCCATCAGAAGGACCCACACTGAAGAAGTTCATGGAGGACTGTCTCCCATGGGAGTGACACCACGTTGGAGCAGGGGAAGAGTGCAAGTAAGAAGGAGCAGCAGAAACAACTTCCATTCCCTGTTCCCCCTCTGCCACTGGTGGGGAGGAGGTAGAGAAATCAAGAGTGAACTTCAGCCCAGGAAGAAGGGATTGGTTGGAGGAAGGTGTTTTTAGATTTGTTCTTGTTTCTTATTATCCTACTGATTTGTTAATTGGTAATAAATAAAATTAGTTTCCCCACATCAATTTAGGTTTTCCTGTGAAAAAAACAGGTGTGTGATTTCCTTGCCCTTATCTTAACCCATGAACCTTTTGTCGTATCTTCTGTGCCCTATCCAGTTGAGAAGGGGGAATGATAAAGCAGTTTGGTGAGCACCTCACATCCAGCCAAGGTCAGCCTGCCACAGGTTGGCCAAAAATAGAAGATGGAGAGACATATGAAAACAGTAGAGATTTTATTCATGACTTTTTCAACTTTACACGGATAGCAATATATTTTAAAAATGTTATTTACCTGAATGAAAAGAGTTTGGAGTTCTTGCTCTGGCAGAGCTCTATCAACTTCACTTTACTCATGTGGTGCATTTTGTTCATTCTGATACCTTCTTATGTTCTTAAAGTCAAATACGATGTCCCAGGTGGATTACACAACAGTGGTATAATCTGGCATTATTTCTGCCTTCCATCGTGCTACGACTTTAACATATGCAACAAAAAACCCATCTTGGCACTTCTTCTTTCATCTGGCATACTGCCTTAGTGATGCAGAATTAATTTGTTGCCTTTTATGAGTTCTACTTTTCTTTCATGTCTCCCTCATCAACACTGAATCTCTGAAGTTTTGAAATTTGGAAAGAATTCCTCTTTGGGTATATTAGCTTGACATTTTCGAAGTTCAGTCTCATTGTGTTACTCTTTCATCACTCCCAATATTGCTGTGTCCCTTTGCATTCCTTTTCCTTGCCCTTAGGTTTTTTTTCTGTATGTAAGTGATCAAGGACCACAGTGTTCACTGTGCTTCACAGACACAGCAGTTAACAGGTGCTTATGGTATTTCCATCTTCACTGAGCTGAAAACTGCCTTCTCAAAATCCTTTCTAAAATTAATCCTACCAGTGATACTGTTGCATCTTAAAAACAGCTAACTCAGTTGTACTAAATATAGTCCTTTATCAACAAATTTTTTTTTCTTATAGCATACAGTTGACATATATGAAGGTTTTATATGTTCAGCAAAACATATTCTCTGCTTTTCAGTTACAAAGTAAAATAACAAGTTATTACAGGTAGACACTCTTATACCTACACAGGATCCTTAAAATCAATCCTACCTTTTGACTGGGGCTAAGTAGAATTGATAAAAGCTTTCACTGTTTGTGGTACTGTCACGTCTCACTCTCAGGAAAGAGTGGGGGTAAGATTACTCAGATTCGTAAATCCCCAATGGCACAGACTAAGTAAAGTGAGATAAATCTCAAGGACTGTATAGAACATTTATTAGTTTCCTGAAATGTCTTAACAAATCCATGATAATTGGTTAGGCATGTGGCAAATTATGGCAAGTGGTCTGCATTGTGTATACATCAGCTTATCGCAAGCGGTACTTAAGGTCGTCACTTAACAACTCTAACCATTACTTAACTCCAAGAGGAAAGAGAAACTAAGAGAGAGAGAGAAAGGAAAACATACAGAAAAAGACACAGATACAAATATCATAGGTCCTGGTTCCAGCACCTTTTTCAGAGAAAAATCTTCGCAGGTATGGTCTTCTTTCTTGGGAAAAATCTTCCCAGGCACGATCGTCTTCTTTTGTTCTTTTTTTCTGCCAAGGAGCACTTATTTTCCCCTTCTATGTTTGCTGAATTAGTACAATCCACTCCCCTTGCCAAGAACAGCTTCATCCTTCGTCTCAGGTTTCTCCGTTCTCTCAGGTGATGTGCTAACATGATTTGGGCGGAGACACGGGTGCCACAGTCATATAAGTTTAGCATGATCTCTATATTTTTCATGAGCATATGCAGGGTGTGCACTTTCATATGCATTTCACAGATAATGGAGGAAAAGTCACTTATCAGACACAATGGCCTTGAACAGAGAACTGACAGACTCATAACAGAAGTGGTAGAACTATCTTGTCTTCACAAAACAGTCTTCCCACTGCTTTTTAGGTGCCTGTGAGTCTTACAAATTCTTTGAATGTCAGGCCTGCATTATTATTTCCTTGTGAGGGTTTGAGGCATTCCATTGAAGGTTTGGAGGTCAGGGAATTTACAGGCCGTCTCCTACAGGTACTGAAAAGCTTAGTTTTTTATTAGGAAAATTTTCACTGAGTAAAAGGCAATACAACTGTTACATATGACTTCAGCCAACAATACTAAGTAGTCTGTCTTCTGAAAGAGAGAAGGCACCAAAAGAAAGGAACTCCCCTAACTGGGTTATTACTCCAGAGTATGTAGGAAAACACTTCATCTGACAGTACGGGTTTTGTGGGTGTGCTCATAGAAGAGATTCCAGCAAGATCACAGACGAGATGGCAGGCAGTTTCCTGAATACTATGAATAAACCAGAACCAGCAGCAAAAGAGAAGCTGAGCAGCTGTGCTCAGGTACTCAATACTGTTATTCTTTCATGGCAAGATCAATTCTGTAGGCATCTCACTGAAATTATTTCTAGCTGGCTGGCTATATTTTTCCCTAGACTTGTCTGATAAGTGATTTTCCTTCCTAGAGATACATTTCAAGTTTATCATTGTAAATTTAGGATAATGGCTTAGTACAGGCTTCACAAAAATCAGTAACTGTTGCTTACGAGAAAAAAGTTATATTTCTCTTCTTTTAGAGGTGCTGAAAGTACTGTAGTAGAATCTAATCTTTCAAAATTTGCTGGTTTTCTGTGCATTTTTCTTTTTTTATTGGAATTAGTATTCCCTCTTGTTCTCGGATGCCTTCACAGAAGACTACAAAGAACCTTTGATGGGTTATTTCCATTTCTCAGTCTGTCTCATCTACTGCTATGTAAAAATAATGTCTGAAAGACAGCCCGGTAGAAACATGGTTAGTCTTCCGATTATTTCTGTTAATATGTACAACCCTTGTCATCAAATTGGATGTTAATAGAAGCAAAGAAAAATCCATGTGTGTGGCCAAATTCCTAACAAAGGTGAATCCAACCAGTGGACCACACTTAACTTTGGTATGAGCTGAAGACTGAGTTCAGTGTTTTTCTGGAAACACAGGTGCTAGTGCTTCGTCATAAATCCCTTTTACCCAGTGGTGAGAGAGAGGTAGTGGGATTATTGTTAGTAGCAGCAGATGGCACTTTTGACTATTTTAAAGCAGAAGTACTACAGATGTAATTGAGAAAAACTGTGTGGACTTCACTTTTTTTTTGGTCACATGTAATTTTGAAGAGTTTTGTCAGGTGACTGTGACTGTGAGAAACAGTGATTATGGTTATTGGTTACTTCTAGCTCTAAGGTGGTCCCTTTGCTCAATTCTGATACTATGAAGAGAGCTACAAAGGAAGGACAGGCAATTCTGGACTTCTTTAAGGAATGTCTTAAGTTGCTGTGCTGTTTCAAGCAGACCAGAAAAGGCACACAGATTCAAATTTCTTCTTTTGCTCCTCCCCCTGACAGTCCAAATTCATCATTTCTTATGGTTTTCAACAGTAAAGATTGTGTCAAAATGTATTAATCCAACATCTCTTTACATCTCAGGCTGAACTGTGACTACAAATGTTTCAGAAAATGTCTTTTGTAGATAGGAATTTAGGAAGATAGTCCACAGTCCATGAAAATGTTAATGTAAAATGGTTCAAGGGTCTTATCTGGGAAGAGGCCCATAAAAGGCTGGAAAAAAGGTGTTAATGAAACATCATTAATTTTCTCCTTTCAAAAAAAAATCAAGCCAAATATTTACTTTCACATTAGATAAAGCACTTTCAATCCAAAATTCAGCTATTATTATTATTGTTGTTGTTATTTTAATCAGTCACCTGGCATGTACTTTGTCCAAGTACAAAGCTACACTGCCCTAAGATCAGTCCAGAGAACGCACTGAGGATTTAAGACTTACTTGTTCTTGCTTTCTGTCCTGCTTAATTAGGTGTGCAAAGAAGAACTGACAGCTTGTAAATACATGACTAAGAGCATGCACTTTTCTTCCAGCTTACTCACTTGTACATGCTAGTAAATGTTATGCCCCAGAAAGCACAGGTCAGATCGTGTAATGTATGTCTGCATGTGCCTGAGAGAGGGAAAGCAAGACAGATAACTCTCTCAGGAATATAAGCGAGCATTTTATGTTCCATTAGTCTCCTTGATTTTTGTCTCACATCCTCCAAGAGAAACAGACTTTGATACTGTACCTATACTGACTTATATCCCGTTATACAGAGAAACCTGAGAAATAAATTGGCAGGCTTTTGCCCATCCCTCAGTCCACTCAGTGCTGAGCTGCTTTACTCAGTGTAACTCAATAACTGAAACAAATCAGAGCCTACAAAAATTGGCAAACAAATTTCAATATTAAATATTTCCCTTTTTAAAAAAAAAATAAAAATTAAATTCCTTCCATACCAACTCTAGATCAGAAAACTATGAAGCATCCTTATGGCTCTCTTATATTTGTTTACTAATGTCAGTGACTGTTTACATCTTCTCAGGGGAGTAAAAAAAAAGTATTTTGTTATTTTATGATGTCTAAATGAAGCACAAAATTGGTACATCTGTCCTTTTATATCCTTTTTTGGCTAAAAACTGTTAAACTAATAGAGTTGGATAAAAACAGTTTTGGATAAAAATTGTTAAACTAATAGAGTTTAACAGCCTGCAGAGCAAATAAAAGATATTGGAATCTATCCTTAAAGCTGGTATTTGTTGCCAGCATTTCCAGACCTGTCAGTATATAAGGAAATAAACATAGTTTCACATTGCTGCATTTTAATACAGTTTGTGGTTAATTAGGTTACCAGTGTCACTGACAAGGCTAAATACTGCCACTTTAGCAATTTTTTTTTCTGTGTAAATGACCACCCTGAGTATTTGTGTTTTTAGAAAACTATCTCTTTTCTTTTCTTAAGTGCAAGGTTTGTAACATAATCTGAGGATGGAAATTGCTTTAGACTTTTTTGCACAAACTATATGCAAGTGTATGGAAATGTCAGCACTTTTTTTATCTTTACTGTAAATCGTCAAAAAACAGCTCTGTATTCTCAATGCATGGGTGCAAGAAAAGATCAGTTTGTGGCTGTGGTACCACAGGCTCAGTTAAAAATCCCAAGGTTTCCAGTAATTACTGCATCTGAGTCAGGATACATTTGGGTTAGTCTACACAGACGTATGGGTAGAATTGAAATAAATGCTACTTTTCAAAATCTATTTTATCCTTTACTTCAGTACTCTGCCATGTTCAATTGCTCTGTGGAAACTATGATATAATGATATATTTGAAAGAACAAAGAAAGCATTAGCTGCATTTTTATCTGGATGCTACATATGCTATCTATCTGAAATACTGAGAGCAATTGAGAATTTTAAAGACTTCTGAATTAAAACTAGCTATCTCCTGGTCTTAAATCTTCCACTAAAATTTTAAGCTGTCTTGTATACAAACATTTGTTGAGTGCTGTTTTTTGTTAGCTCATAATACCAGTCTCCAGAGAGAAGAATCAATCCAGAAGGTGATGTCTCGCAGAACATTCTACCTAACAAAACTACAGCATATCCATTCAGATCAAGAGAGTCAAGTTTTTCTTTCCCCATAACTTTGGTAACACAGTAAATTTAAAAATATAACAGCAGTATTTTCTCTTCTCTGAATCCACACATTTATTTTGTACAGCCTAAAAAATGCATCCTGAAGAGACTGCATTGTCCTGAAATTTCTTTGTGTAAGAATTTACAAAGTGTAAATAAACATTTTACCACAGTCCTTCTCTTCCATGGAGAAACCCACCAGAAAAGAGATGCTTCATATCAAGTAAGTTTAAAAGTCTCTCAATATAAGGACTGCAAAAAGGCCAAAAGAGAAGTTTCTGACACAGCATTACTTGTTGCGACCTGTGATTTATAGAAAAACTTGAGCAAGATACGGTACACCACTGGTGGTTCAAAGTCCTGTCCAACCTGACCTTGAACTTTTCCAGGGAGGGACCATTCACAACTTCTCTGGGCAACCTGTTTCCGTGTCTCACCACCCTCATTGTAAAAAAAAGTCTTCCTTATGTCCAGTCTAAATTGGCCCTCTTTCACTTAAAACCATTGGCCCTTGTCTTGTCACTAGAGGCCCTGTTAAAATGTCTTTCTCAGCCTTTCTTAGAAGTCCCCTTTATATACTCACAGGCCACAAGATGATCTCTCTGGAGCCTTCTCTTCTCCAGGCTGAATAGCCCCAACTCTCTCAGTCAACAGTCATGGCACTGAGTACTCATGAATGAATTTTAAAAGGGCATAGAAATAGATCTATACTTGCAACTGTACTGAATCGTTCAAATTCTGTTATTGAAAGAATAAGACTGAGCACCAGCATTTGAATAACTCAAACACATGAACAATGTTTTACCCAAACACAACTTTTGTCAGCTTAAAGAAGAAAATAAATGTTTTGTTCTTCCCTGTTCCAGGTTTCCCACTGCCAAATTTCACATCTCGGTGGGACATGTTACCAATGAAAGAAACACTACTTTGTCTCCTAGTTCTGTGTACGTTGGAGTCTTCAGGATGGCAGAGGCAGGAGGCATTGGCAGTAAACGTTTCCAGTGACAGCCTTTCCAAACCTCTGCAGCCTTCCAGTTCTACACACACAGGTTATAACCCTGCTTCTAACTGCTGCGTGGGAATACAGATGATGCAGTTAGTGGAAGAAGACTCCCCCAGTAACAGCTGAGTATTTATTTGGCAGTGGCCACTACAGCTTTGGCAGGGAAAATTTATTTGCTATTGATTTAGGTAGAAACATAATTTCATCTTTAAAGTGAAGTGAAAATTTGTATGTATAGTCTAATAACTGAGTGTCCTAATTCTGACCAGTGAGTAGTGCAAATCTTGAGGATTTAGTCTTCATAGTCTGGGTCTCTCCCTCACCCTGCTAGCATACATTAACATCTATTGATACATAAATAGATTTCACTTATTAAAAGGCTGCCCTATGGTCTTATGGCATACGTTTCCATTTTTGTAGCAGATGGTACTCCTTGTTACTGATGCTGATCACATTTTTTTTTCTAGTAGAAAATGTAGCACTATTGACATAACAACAAATTTAATATGTGAAAATAAAATGAGTTCTTGCATTCTGCAGAAGAGAGAGAGACCCAGGAGACGTGGTTTAGTCTGACAAGGTACAAAATCAGGTACACTTTTTTTTACAGTTATATTGCCAAAAATATTTAAACATATCTTTCATCTTCAAATCTTAACTTCTCCCCACAATTCCTTTCCAAAGGCAAGTTATCAGAGACAATCACTTTGGGAATCCACCTTATCTTTCTAATCTTCCCCCCGCCCCATAAATGATGCATTTATTCTCTAAATCAAACAAAAGATCAAGCTTTTCTTTTTCCATTTACATGGGCAGTATTTCAAGTGGACCTGTGGCTTCCCACTGCCTTCATCGTAGAGCTGTCTTTTGTGGGCTATGCCTACATTTAGGTATTTCAAACTTACATAGAAGAAAAAGGTATAAATCAGAACTTCACAGAAGCCAGAAGATAGCAGTTTACATCCGAGATGTTAAGACAAGTCCAGAGAGTATCAATTTACCTGTAAAAAATTAAGACAGTTGACTGTACTCTGTGGTGCCAGGGATCAGCTATTGTAGTTTTAACATCTTTTAACTACTGCTTCCTCTGCTGCTAGATGGAGGGATGTTTTTCTGTAGGAATAGTGCTTCAAGGGACAGTTGTCATGTAAAGAAAAGGGAAAGTGCTGTCCTTCTGTTTCTGTCCACCTGTCCAGAATCCTCTCTACTATCTCTGGAAAATTTGCCAGCAGAGCTGCAAAGCTGAGAGCCAGCTCTGCCCAGATAAACTCTGCCAGAGGAAAACAGCAATCTACTATTGCTTTCTCTCAAAGTACTCTTTGTTACTGAGAATGGGAAGCTTTTATTCCATCACTTTTCTCTAATGCCTGTTCCACTAGTTACTTATCTTGAATTAGAAATTGTAAGATCCGACAAAAAACTAAGGAAGTACTCCATTTGGAAATTAAATTCCTCTTAAAAGGGAGGGCAGATCCCCAACGGTTTCCCTTTTAAAATCTGTAAAATCTCTCTCTCAAAAAAAAAAGTTGATTTTTCCATCAAGATAGTCTTGTTACATGCAGCAGTAGCTGGAGAAAAGTAGTCTATATAGAATTATTGTGCTTTATGTGCCATAAATGCATAGAGGTTCCAGGAGAAGTTTCCTTTTGTATCTCATCTTGTAAAGTTCAATTATTCTTCCCCCATCATCATTATCCCTTTCATTAAGTTTTACTGCAAAAGTATCTTGTAAAACAGGTCCTAAAATTTTTGTTAGGGATGGATTTTACTGTTGAACTGATTTAGTCACACGCATGCTCTGCATCAGCAAAGCTAAATCAAATCCATTCCAGGGGAGACTGATCACTTTTTGAACCTGTTAACATGGTTATCTTCAAGATAAATTTGTTTACTTTCCTAAAGTTCTTTCATGGGCACAACCTGGCTATGATTAGTTAGCTAAGTACCCTTTTCAGTTGATGCACAATCTTTTTTATTTTACAGTGTGCAACAGTTTTGTGTGCATGCCCTAATTCTGTCCAAATTACTTCATGCTACTAATTTCTACCTTCATTTAAACTCTTACATGTTTGTTTTTCAATTAGCTGTTATTGTATTTAAATGCCTTGCACTGGCATCTGTATTTTCCTTTCAGGTTATTTTAGATTCTAGATTTTTCTCCAGGGTCTCAGTTTCCTTTGTGCACACTGACAGAGTCTGGTTTTGCATTCCTTATAGAGCGTTTCCTTTGCTTCCAATGTTAGTTTAAGTGCCTTCTGTCAAAGCTTTTTGATCTTTTCCAGCTTCATACAGTCTTCATATAATATCCTAAAAAGAAAAGCTCAGAATGTTCCAAATAAGGCTTTGCAATTACTTTACATGTGAATATTTAACTTCTGATTTATACATCTCGCTTCTAAAGACATAACACATGCCAGGACAGGCCAAGACTCTGTTTACCTTCTTGCTGCTACCAGACATTGTGCAGATGGCTAATGCATTATCCTTAATCACTCTCAGTTCTTGCTACTGCTCTGTTTTGCAGATGAGAATTCTTATTTGTGCTGTACAATTTGCATCATGTGGTTCTGGTCTCAGTCTCCACTTTACCTTACAAAAGGGATAATCATATCCTATTGAATTAGACTAGAATTTAGGACCGTGGCATAGGGATGCTTTGCAGGATGGTTGCTTCCTTAGAACTGCAAGAAAAAATTGCAAATGCTGTTTCTGCATTTTATATTCTCTATTTTTTATCCCCTTTTTTCATTCAGGGAAATAGGATGAGTCACTTCAGCAGATGACTCAGAAATCAAGTGGCTAGAGATGTTTGGGAATGTATTCTATATCCAGTAATATAGAACACAGATATTTTATAGCTAATAATGGGCCTTATTAGACCAAGTAGTGCCAGAGGCCAGGAGTCCACAGTATATTTACAAGGCCAAAAGATAGTTGACAGGGTGTGAAGAATAAAGAAGCCTGGCTGGAGTGTCTGAGTTCGTGCCCCCTATAGCATTCCCTGTCCTGTATGATTTAATATTACATTTGTACACACAGCAGCTATCACAACATCTTTGTTCCCCTCCTCACAACATATTTGCTAACACAGAAGGATATCAAACATGGATTCAAGTAATACTCTGAACAAGCCAAATTCTGAACTTGAGGTCCCTAAATACTCTCCCTTAAAGAGCCCCTTGAGGAGCCCTGTAGCTACTGTGGCCATGACAGAATTGAGTGACTGCTTGTTATTTGTGTGCCAAAAATAATTCCAGAATTTCAGTTCCCAAACCCATTTGCTTGTCAGTGTGGTTGCAGTTCCTCTGACTGAGGGGGGTAGGCAGGAAGCAAGAGCAGCTCAAGAACAAAAAGGGAGAATAGGTGAATCTTCCTGTTTAAATGGCAGCCTGCTAATTTGTACCTCCCTTTCACAAACACCAACATCACTAGAAGAAATCTTCATTTCCACTTGAGTTGAGAAGGAACAAAACAAACCATTTAGGAACAGCATGTGAATTGGCTGAGCTGTTAGGTCACAAAAGTGTTCTGTTTGCAAAACATCCATTCAGAACCTCATTATCCAAAATGAGCTCCACCTGCACTCCATTATCACAGATTTTTTTTCTTTTTTTTTCCCTTTTTCTTTTTTTTTTCTTTTGTCTATTTTTCCTTTCTTATTTTGTCTTTTTTTCTTTCTCTTTCTCTTTTTCCTGTTTTCTTCTTTCTTTTTTCTTTTGTCTATTTTTCCTTTCTTAGTTTGTCTTTTTTTCTTTCTCTTTCTCTTTTTCCTTTTTTCTTCTTTCTTTTTTCTTTTGTCTTTTGTCTTTTGTCTTTTGTCTTTTGTCTTTTTTCATATTTTTTTTACGTGTAAAACTATTACACCTTATCTAGAAGAAAGTCTGTGAAACTGTAGGCAATAGTGTTAGATGGGCAAGTTTAAATTAAGTTTTAGCTTGGTGGATGAATCATGTAATTGAGAGTAAAAAAGCTGTACATAAAATACTGCATCATTATAAGTAATAGGGTCAGAGACACATTTGCTGTCTAAGTGCCTGACCTTGCTCGGCTCTCAGGCTATAGAGACTTTTATAAGTGGAATGTATTATTAAAGTTTTTGCCAGGAGACAAAAATACTTTCTCTGTTCTATTTAATGAGAAACCGATTCGTTTCCTCTGATTCTTTAAGTACAGGACAGTGAACAGGAACACTGAAAGACAGGAACCCCAAGGGGCAAGTACGACTCCCTCTTTGAGCAAGTCATTGTTATCCTGGAAATTTTGAAGTACAGAAGGTGGATATTTTGAATTTTAACAAATAGTCTATTAATGAAAATCATCAGCTTTCCTCTCATCTCACCTCATACCAAACACTTGTAGAGATGCTTAAGACATTGTTGTGAGAGACTGAAAGTATTTTCATTAGCCCTGTCCTCTGACTCTGTGTTTTCCAACCAGCTTTCCTGCCAACAAGGTACCCAGACCCAAAAGACTGTTTTAATGTTAGTACACTAAATGTACTGGAGAATATACTTGTCTTTCAACTTTTCGCTTATTGCTACCCCCAGGAATTTTGTCTGTTACAGTGCTTTACTCCTACTCATTCATACTGTTTACAAACAGGTCACGCTGTTTTCATGAAAACAAAGCCAGTTAAGACAGTCTCTAAGGTTTCAGAGCAGCACCTACACACTGCAAGACTTAAACATTCCCTTAAGATTTTTTAGAAATGTCATGTGATATTTTTGTATTCCACTTAAGCCATCAGAACCAATTTCAATTTCACATCCCATGTCAAGGTCATTCATTCCCTTTGAAAAATTATTCCACATAACCCTCCAATCTATGCATGAAGCACTGTACCCTGAAAAAATGGAGATGTCCTGATTTTGTTCAGCACTTGAATGAAACCAAGGCCTCTCGGGAGGAACGGAAAAGTAGTCAACAGGCTAGTAATCTGGTCACACAGATTGCAAGTGAGACCCATGTCTACGTTCTACCTGATTAACACTACAGGCTGAAGTATAATTTCATATATCCCTGATGACTCTCTGGTTACCAAGCTATTAGGTATTCTCTGATCATGAAGTCATACAGGGAGCCCTTCCAAGATTTTTCATTGTACAAGTTTAGTCAGAGCCAGTGCATTCCCACTGAGACATCTCAGTCTTAGATAAACAATCATTTTATGGAAGCCATCACCATACTGACAAAGGATTCCTCTGCAGCTCAACTTGAATGTAATCACACCCGAAGGCCTTGTGTAAGTGAGGGAAAGAGACTGCTCTCAGAGATGTACAGGCATTGGCTACACAGTTTACTGAGGACTTCTGATTATTAGCAAAAACACTTAAATTGTTTTCCTTAAACCTGGAGTCATAACTAATACTTGTTACTTTGCTAATAAGATTTTTACCCTAGTCTGTCTGAACCACTTATGTTACATATGCAGAACTTCATTAACACAGGTTCACTTTAAACCTGCCAATCAATGCAAGTCACATAAAATTATGCATGGTCGTTTATGTATTTGGATTATGGCCACCACCAAATGAAAAAATATTCTACTTCAAAGCAGAGGTGACCCATGACATAGAATAATACCAAAAGAGCCAAAGGGTTTATTAAATATGACATCTAAATTTTCTGTCAAGCTTATAAAATAAGACTCTTCTGCAGTACTACTCTGGGCATTAAAGTAATAGTAGTGCTTCTTTAATGCCCAGAGCATTAAAGAAGCACTACTGCAAGATGTAGTGCTTTGAGCCACTGCTGTAAAAATACTGGTTTTAATATAAATTGCGAGAAGCTAGTTCTTATTTTGCCACACAGTCATGTAGTTATCATGGACCACACTGAAAAGCTGTTGCACTTATGAAGTCTGGGAAGATGGCTAAAACACATAATTAGAAGGTACTTAATCTGAAAGCAAGAGGTTAATCTTGCAGCTTTAAGCATTGTGTCACTGATTTAAAACATTGCAACAATAAAAGATACAACCTTGCAAAGTGCCAAGCTCATTAGCCTCCTAACAGTGGCTCAATTGTTTAATGGCTATGCAAAGTGAAAAACAAGCGTACCACCTGCTCTACTCATCCACTCCAAGGTTCTAGAAACATGTTTGACATCAAGCAGACTCCGCGGTTATGGATTCTTCTCTGCAGTAAGGTAGTGAGACAGAATAAAAGTCTAACCCAGACCAAACTACCCTTGAATCTGGATGTCTTTTGTCCCTTCTAGCATGGTGTTATTCTTGCGTGATGAGCCGCGTCACAGCAGTTCCTGTTGCTTCGCTGGGTTAAATTACCTGACAGGAAAGGAGAAATGCACGTGGAATGGGCAGTGGTCTGTACCTCTTTTCAAAAGCCTCAATCACTCTAAGATTCCACCCCAAGAGCAGTCCTAGGAAATCTTAATTAAAATATTGTTGCACGCATAAAGAAAAACTCTGTAGATAACATGAAGTTCTGGCTTCAGTCACATTCATCTTCTAACTGCCTAAGAGCCCAGATTTCTACTTGCTACAGGAAAATCTCATTAATAACACAAAGAAAATTATTATACAGAAAAAGATGCTCCTAGTACTTACTGCTTTGCTTTATTGCTATGCCTAGCACTAAACCTCGAGAGGTTTCTCTGTATCCCAAGGTTGACAGCTCTGGTCTTCCTCAAGGGTTTGGGAAGGGGAGGATTACCATGTGCAATTTACCACCCTCAGGCACTTTCTAGGAAGATTATTATGCCTATGGTGAAGATTTTGTTCTCTTCAGACTTGGGGTCTGCCTAAGTCTTTTTACTAGTAGTGGTATTGGTTTTTACTAGTAATGGTAAAAATCATATCTATTTGGGTTATGAACTGGTGAATAAGTTTCACTGCCTAATTTCAACTCATAACCCTTTTATGAAAAGCTGAGCTTTCACCATGCAGTTCAGCACACTGATCCTGTGATAATCTAAATGTTTCAGTGACTTTAAATTGGTGGTTTTTTCAAGATTTTAATTTCAGTATCTCAAGCGAGCCAGATACTTAGTTGGTTTAATCCATGTATTTCTGTCAAAGTCAATTAATCTGATATAGTACCAGTGCAGGATTGTATCCACTACATTTCTATCAACCTGTGATCAGGAAAAAACGGCAACTATTTTTGCTGAGGATGGAGATAAGAGATTCATTGAAAAGGCTTTCTATTTTTAACTGTGGCTCTCTTATTTTCTTCCCTCTTCATGGCTAAGTTTTATGAGCTGCTGGATCTGTCAGTGGAAATGACAGATTTCTAACTCAGTCTCTGTTAATTTCTTGAGATAGCTGAATGCATAAAATAATGCATGTAAGTACAAAAATTATAGATTTAGAAAGTTTGATTGCTATGCTTTTCCCATTCTAATTTCTTTTTCTACCATTCCTGCAGCATGTATGTTCTACGTATCAATTTTCATACTCTTTAATAACTACTGTAATACCTTAATGTTGACATCTGATAGAGGCTCTGTTTGCCTAGGTTCCTTACAAAAGGAACATTTCAATTGGCAATTTGCTCTCTTTGTCAGTTTACAAATAAATTGGATTTTTTAATTAAACAAATAGCTACTTTTTATGTGAAACTGTTGATAGCAGAGATAAGAGTTTAGGTGGCTATATTAATTGTACTCAGCAAAAGCAGCTTCCTGGAAGTAGCTGGAATCTTTTTCTCCAGTAGAAGGTTACAACACAAATACATGTGTTAGCCTTGATACCATGAAGAGGCCACATTAATTCTAAAGCAATTACTGTGAAAGTCAAGTAAATACATAGTTGTGTGAATCAAAGATATAGCTGTCCTGCTTGAAACAATTAATTTGTCCATGTTAGCTTTCTAACACTTCCTTTGAGAAATTATAACATAAATTAAATGATTGTTATCTTATTCTGTTAATAAGGATATTAACAGGTCTATACAGGTATAGGCAGGTCTACCTGGTTTAGAAAAGCAGCACAAATATTTCAGATCAGAAGGGAAATCAGAATAGTCACACTTCTGCTGAAGATGGAGACAAGACAACCATTGCAAAGAGATTATTATTGTTTGTAACAATCTTACTTTTCTTTTATAGTTAGTCATTCCTATACAGTTGGCTCCTCACAAGAAGCCTCAGTTTCCACTCTGCTGTCCCATTCCCCCAAACCAACAAATCCTAATGAACAGCCTACTCATGGTAGAAATGTTTGAATGAGAAACTGGGAATGTTTCAGGATGGTCAGATGGTTCTTCTAATGTAGCACAGGGAATGCTACAAGATTACTGGAGGGCATTATTTGTCAAGTTATACCAATGAAGAGAAAAAAAAAATTGTAATGTTGAAGTTGATCCAAAAAAATAGCTTGAAAAATATATTTATGTTATGAACAGCGATCTGGCTTTAACCTTATTGAAGTTCAGTGTAATGTAATGTACAGGCTCCATTACATGTTCTAAACCCTGGGCTATGAAACTGCCTACAACAAAACCAAAACACTGCAGAAAATAGGGAACAGCATGCTTTTATTTAAGCATTAAATCCTTTCTGAATGGAGACGAAGTGGTTAAAACATTTTCATAACTTCCAGAAAATGTCTCTGTGACTAGAAAGATATGGCTGTTTAAAAAAAAAAAAAGGTTTTGGAGAACAGATTTATTTAAAAACTACAGAACGTGAAATTAAAATGATGAGTGTCATGGTAACTCTATCCTGTCATTTTGGTTTGTTCCTTGTTTTTTCCAAAAGCCCCAGTCTCCCGACTGTCAATGCTGCTTGCCTGCTGTTCACTGCCTGCTGTTCACTGCCTGCTGTCCTTCAGAGAGAATTCTTTTGCCAAATCTTACCAGAAGGAACTTGGACATCATTGACCCAAGACGGAGCCAGGTAAATGCAAACTGTAGCAACCTCCTTTCCCACAATCCAGGAAGCCACCACAAACACTGTCACAATGACTAGGTACATGTTTTCATGTGACATTCCATTAGCTCACGTACTTGCCAAGTGCGCTGCTATTCAAGGTCATTCTCATGACCTGTGGTATTGGCTTCTTATAGTATCAGGTACTGTGAATTGGGAAACCTCAAAATAATAGCACGTTACAACCAAAGCTGGGACTTGAAGGAAAGTCTAGATAAAAGCTATAGACCATGAAGTCATGAGAGGCTGAATTTTTGGCAGTGCAAATGAGACACGGTAGTGGGTCCACAAAGACAGGTGAACAAGATATAGTAGTAAACTCTAGTTGTATCATTTTCTGGAATATAGTTGAAACAAAGATTCCAGGAGACCAAAACTTGCTCCAGAGAGGGGCTGCTTTCTGGATCATGTTTGATCCAATTTAGTGCAAAACCAACAAAAAGCAGATCAAAGAATGGCCATTTGACTCACAGGTTTTTCTCTTTAAAGATTTTCTTATATATATTGTGTATTATATACCCACAGCATAACACGGAAAAGCACAAAGTAGATGAATATGTAGGAACCCTTTCTGTGAATTGCAATGTTCTCTCAGAGGATCAGATGTTTCCCAGCCATAAGATGCCCATCAGTAATACTAGACCTCTTAATGAAACGCGCCTAGTTTTAAGTTTCCCTGTAGAAACCAGCTCAGCACAACTCTGATCAATCCTTATAAACCCCCTAAGGGTCTGCACCTCTCCATTAAAAAATCTCTACGGTACACTGCTAGTCCTAAAGTAATTGCTCTGCATAATCCAAAAACAAAAGTTGGGAAGACTGAATGCCAGCTGCTAGGTAACTCGGAAAAGTGATAATGACATTATGATTGATTGTGAAAAAGCCAGAGGTAAATCAAGCACAGACAAGACTGACAGACAGCTCCTGGATTTGTCTGTCAGTATAGGATTCTTACACATACAGTGCACTGAGAAAACATTTTGTAAAGAATAATACACACATAAAGCTATTCTGATGAATATGCATTATTATCCCTAGAGAGGAAAAAAAAAAAAAAAAAAAAAAAACACTGCTAGTCCTAAAGTAATTGCTCTGCATAATCCAAAAACAAAAGTTGGGAAGACTGAATGCCAGCTGCTAGGTAACTCGGAAAAGTGATAATGACATTATGATTGATTGTGAAAAAGCCAGAGGTAAATCAAGCACAGACAAGACTGACAGACAGCTCCTGGATTTGTCTGTCAGTATAGGATTCTTACACATACAGTGCACTGAGAAAACATTTTGTAAAGAATAATACACACATAAAGCTATTCTGATGAATATGCATTATTATCCCTAGAGAGGAAAAAAAAAAAAAAAAAAAGAAAATTAGCAGAAGTGATAAAGACTCAGGGAAAATATAACGAAAGATTTGTAGTTTGTTGACAGCACTTATTTTATGCGCTTGTCAGGGTTTCAAAGGTTAGGTTTCTCTGATCAGCCTGTACTTACTGTGCCTCCAGGACTGGAATTGCTGATGGTCAGATGCTCTCAGTTCATACCAATTTTGCTGACATAGATTCAATGAATAGATGTCCTACCTGCTTTTTGTGCTTTACCTAAATAAAATAAGGGATTAGCATTTGGATTCTAAACAGGAGTGTGCTTTTAAAGTTAATCTGGTCATTATGGTCACTTACTGCCCTATGGTTTTCACTATGGAGCAATCTTGGACCTCCCAAACTGGAATCTTTATTAACAAAATTAAACCAAGAGACTCATTGTAACTGTCTAGCATGTCTAAAGTAACCTTATCCCTCCTCCTGAAACACGTATGGTGAGGCTTTCAGGTCCTTAAAGCTAACTTTTTCATTCTACAGATCCTCTCAGATTGCAGTACACCTTTTTGTCATACAAAGATTAGGACCTTCCAACCGTCAATGGGGCATTGGTTTCAGATTCGGATGACTCCAAGCCACATATCCAACAATGACTGGTCAAGAGATGTTGGAAGACAGATTTAATGTCTTTGCTGACTATGAACGGTCAGTCACCAGCATGATTTTGCTTCATGTAACTGAAAGCAGTATATGTTGCATCTCTAAATGTTGAGGCTGCACTTGAAGCTTGGTAGTTGCCATTTTGTAGTTCTGTTCAGATCTGGATTGCCACAGAGAATTGTGGACCCACCCCCTCAAATGGAGCGAAGCAGCACCACGTGCCATTTGGGACTTGACACACAGAACCAAGCTTGTGCTCTTCTCAGTCTAAACTCTGTCAAGGCAGAGACCATCTGATCTTTCCCTCGGACCAACAGTTCCCAAACTAGAAATCATACTTCTGGGAGCATGACTGCAAATGGTGTTATGAATCTGGCCACAAAGATATTAAATGTGGGAATGTGAAATGTGAAAAACATGAATTAATATAGGTACTATTAAAATGGTTCTAAACCCCTCAAATACTGTAGAGGAAACCCCTTACTGTAGAGGAAATGTGCTGAGGTGTCAGGACATGATTTTCCACTTTGTATTGCTCTGTATTTTTCTCTTCAATTTTGAAACCTTTATTTTTTTGTTAGTGTTTGGGGTTTTTTTAAGTAGGAAGTTACTCTCCAGTCTGAAATTAAAACAATCTTAACTACTGCCTTCCCCAAACCCTCAGACTACCCAAACTACCCAAACTGCTGCGATTTGCGTACAAAGGGAAAAATATTAGATTTTCATGTCAAGTACTCTCTGGTACATCTCCTTCTCTCAAAAGCAGACTGGGAAAGAAAACTGAGACTGCTTTGTTTCTTTTTCAGTATACTATGCTGCAATACATTTCTCCTTTTCACCGTATTTGCCCTGTGAGCATTTGGTCTTCTATCATTATAGTAATTGCCTTGTTATTTCCTTGTAGTTTCACTGTACTTAGGCAGTGGATAGAAATTACCTTGTACTCTTATGCTGATCTTACTTTCATAGGATTTCAGAAAACAGGCAAATTAACAAAGCTAATAAACTCCTAGTGAAAATTCTGTTGTGCCTCCTATAATGAGAGCTGAAGAAGCTGGCATACAAAGAAGAGGACTGCCTCTCTCTTGACTTTGTATTTAGTTCATTGCTTGCTTTGACAGCTTCTGGAATGGGCTTGCCAATTTTTTCCCCCCAATAATATCTTTAAAATAAACTAGAACAGACTCTCTTTCATTTACCTATAGATTTTGGCTGTGGCTCAGGAAAGCACTCAGGCATGTTTTTGGATCCATTTGTCTTCGAGACAGCGTATATAAGCACCTGAGCAAAGAAAAATACACAGGTAAGTGTTATGAGAAGCATAACTCAAAATCTGAACTGAACAAAGGCCTTTCTTCATCTATGAGTTCATCTGGAAAGTCAATTCCCCATCTGTTTTTCTCCTGCTCTTCCTTCAAAGAAAAGGCATAGACAAAGCTGCCTGTCAGTGATGCTGGTGGTGCCTCTGTGAAAAGGTATGTAAGAAAGGACAAAAATGCTGGACAGGCAGAGAAGTAAGGGGAAAAAAGTGTTGGAAAAAAGTGTCAGAAAAAAGCCCTGCAGAAACCAAGGTCAGTGAAGGAGGAGTGGGAGGAGGTCCTTTGCCAGAGCAAAGATTCCCTTGAAGCCCATGGAGAAGACTATGGTGGAGCAGGGAAAAAGAGTGAGGAGGAAGGAGCGGCAGAGAGGAGCTGTTATGAACTGACCATCACCCCCGTTGCCCATATTCCTGTGCTGCTCAGAGGTGGGGGAGGATGTAGAGAAGATGGGAATGAAGGAGTGAATTTGAGTCTGGGGGAGAAAATGCCATTTAAGTTTTGTCTTTGTTCCTGATTTCCCAAGTCCATTTTAACTGGTAATAAATTAAATAATTTATCCCAAGTCAAGTATGTTTGACCCATGATGGTAACAGGTAAGTGTTCTCCTTATCTCAACCCGTGAGCTTTTTCATCTTATTTTATATGTCTTGTTGAAGGGGGGAAGCAAGAGAGCAGCTGGGTGGGCATCTGGCAGACAGGCAAGGTAAAGCCACCGCAAGTATAAATTATTTCTGTCACAGGACATACATGGATCACTTTCTGCATGGTTCATGTACAATTTCCATGAGTTTCAATGGTTAAAAGCTAGGTTATTATGAATGTAATTAGAAATTTTATCTTAATAATGATACATTATCAAAATCAGTATTAAAGAAACTTTTCTCAAGCTACTTAGAGACTGAAGTGATAAATCTTTGTGATTGTTGGGGAGAGGGAGAGCTTATATTATTATATCCAGGAAAGGTTTTCTGTGGCCAAAATAAGATTGTATTTAAGTCTGACCAGTGACATCAGTCATTGTCATGACACGTCTGGGGAGAGGATTCTTTAAATAATACTGGAGAGTGTCTGAGCAGGATGAGAATAACTTTGAGTGTAGAAGCAGGTTTTCATGAAGAAGCTAGTAGGATCATTCTGCATGTCCTTTAGTAACTTGAACGAAAAATCCTATAGAAAACTTGTTAGGATAATGGTTTTAATTTTCTAGCACTGCAAGATGTTGCAGGTGATGATACAGTAATTACTGTGCAACAAGCACATTAAGAAACAGCATAATTTAAAATTACTTCATTGTTCCAATTGCTGATTTAAGAATGGAAAATACTCCCAGTACTATTATAAACAGTGGATACATTGGTAAACTTTGCAGAAGAGCTCTTCTTTGCTGCTTGCCAAATTTACAACCCTTCAGGAAGAGAAATTGTTTAACTAAGCCACTGTAAAATGCACCACAATTACATGTGACAAGCATAAAATATTGTTTTATTTATTAGGCACCTTGTATCAACTGTTGCACATGGTGTTTTACAGAATAAGATCATTTACATGCAAACATATGACATGAAGAAGTGCTCCAGTTTAAACAAAATGATTTGCTTAATCACTAGTGTAAGGCCACATTGACGTACTACTTATATAGAACTTGCTTAGCATTAGTAGCTAAAGTTGCTGAAGCCTTAGGCCACAAATTGTGAACTTTCACCTAGATAAATTGAACTTATTTTGAACTTAGTACGTAAAGGAAGGCCTTGAGACTGGTACAAACTGGCAGACATGGAAACTACGACCATCAGTAGAAGCTGCATCTTAGCAAGGTAAGATCAGTTAACAGCTTGCTTGGAGACAAAGAAAGAATTCCATGAGGAATAAAAAGATGCCAGACCATAGATTTCCAGTAGACCAAGGGACACATGTAAGGTGTGTGAAGAGCACAGGAAGGGTAGATGCACAGATTGTAAGGGTGTAATTGCCCAGGAATTTCTTTGTTTAGGTGCCTCCCTGGAGGCACCCAGTTTGAGCTTTCCTTGCTGCTGTACCATTTTAGTAAATTATTTCAGTGAAGATTTTTGTCTGAGGCTCTGCTATAGGAAACCTAGGGCAAAGAAACTTCTTTAACAGTTTGGCACCTCAGATGGGACCCTAGGCCATCACCTTCAGGTCCTCTAGCCTCCAAGCATCCAACTGCCAGCATTGGGTGAGTTTACTTGGGGCCTTTGGAGTAGGAGGCACCGAAGGGGAGTGCTAAAATTCTCTAAGCAGATTTGGTGACAATACTGTAGGGGGGTCGAGTCTCTCAGTATCAGGGTGGGTTTGAGTCTCTCCTCTGCTGCACCTTGTTATGAGTGTGCAGCCTGATCAGTGTAAGGGTACATATAAGGGGGTTTGAGTCCCTGTTAGTGATGGAAAATGATAGGGAATAAACCCAGCACAGAGGGAGGGATGCCATTGGCCGAGGTACTACAAAACTGGGAAAGAATTTGTGGTACAGCAAGCCTATCTAAAAAGCATGCAGTTACCCTTTGCCCAGAAGGCTGGCCATTCATGACTAGAGCTGGAAACCTGGCAGAATGGTGGCCACTCCAAGGGACCTTTGATCAGCACAGACTTGCCTTCTGACATCGCCTAGAGGGTAGGTACCTGGGACAAATGGATTACTGGTATGTTTGGGATGACTGGGTGTATGAGAGAAATCACTCACGTCAGAGGCATGGCATAAAAGAGGGGTCAACAAAGGTAATGCTTGCAATGGCAGAGGCAACTGCCCTGGGTGAAGCCTCAGATAATGCCCCAACCGTGTCCATTCCACCTTCTATACCTACTGCTTCTTCTCTGTCTTCTGATTGTGCTCTGCTGGCTGCTGGCCTCTATCCTATGGTTCCTAATGTCATACCTAATCCTGCTGTTACGCAATCAGGAGGGGATGGGTCCCCCTCTTCATTAGAAGTGTTCACTAATCGGCCTTGTAATTCTAGTGACTTAGCTTTATGGGGGAGTGAACTACCAAGACTGAGAGAGGATGCTGAAAGGCTCAGTTGTTTTCTAATATATGCACCGGGTATAACCCAAGTTGAAGAGGTATTCAAATACTTTTTAAGAGAATTGTTTTGGCCAGATGAACAGCAAAAGATAATTAATAAAGATGCAGAACTAGCACAACATGCTGCGGGAGGTAGAAACCCCTGACCTGCAAATTATCCAAACTGGGTTTATAATAATGTAGGAGAGAGAGATGCTTGCCAGACTGGACTCCAAAATTTATTAGACACAGGTACAGCACGCAGAAAATTGAGGGTAAATTGGACTAAGGAGTGCAGACAAAAGCTAGATGAACATCCTAGTGATTTTTAGGGACACCTGCAACAAGCCTTGCTGAAATATGGGGGAATGACCACATAAAAATTTAATTACACACTTGCAATTAGCATCTTTGTGGATCAGGTGGCCCCCCAGTTTACTGAAATACTTGAACAAAGACATGCCTTCCACCGACTGTGAAACAGTACTCTATTCCCCAAGAAGCTGAAAACAGTACGATTTAAGAGAAGTCAAACTACCTAGCGAATCAGTTCTTGTACAATATGTGGATGATTTGCTAATAGCAAGCAAAGATGAAAGCTCCTGCATGAAAGACACTGTGTATCTATGTATTGCCCTAGCAGAAAAAGGCATCGTGCATCCCCATCCAAACTTCAGCTGTGTCAGAAAGAGGTTAAGTATTTCAGTTTTATTCTGAGGGAAGGGCAGCAAGTAATAGACCCAGAGGAAATAGAAGCTATAATCCAGCTTCCACACTGTGTCACAAACAATTACGAGAGTTTCTCCAAACTGTGGGATTTTTGTTGACCGTGGATTTCTGGGCTGGGAGAACTAACTAAACCTCCAACACAGGCAACAAGAAATGAGGAAGCAGAACCTTTTGTGTGGGGCCCGGAGATGCAGCAGGCTTTTAAAACAATAAAAGGTGCCTCTCAGATTATACAAAGCCCTTCCATTTGTATGTGCATGAATAAAAAGGAATAGCCAGAGGGGTGATTATACAGAGACTGGGACCCAACCAGAGACCAGTTGCATACTTCTCTGCTCAACTAGATCTGGTCACAGCCTGTATCAAGTCTGTGACAGCAGCAGTAACAATATTAGAAAAAAAGCCACTCCCTCATTTTGGGATGTCCAGTAATAGTCCATGTCCCACATGAAGTAGAAATACTGCTAGTAAAAAAATACGCAACCCAAACATTCTCAACACAACAGGCACACAGATATGAACTAAAAGATGCAATACTTTGAATCCAGCAACCCTAATACCCTTGCCTGTTGATAAGAAGAACATCACCGGTGTGAGCAGGGGATGGACACTACAATTAAACTGTGAGTAGATTTAACCGATGTTCCTTTGCAGAACCCAAATCTAGTCCTATTTGTAGATGGCTCATACTACTACTTACAGGGACAATGACAAACTGGGTACACTGTGGTCAGTCAAGGGCAAGTAATAGAAGCCGAACTACTCCCAACAAAGAATAGTACACAGGGAGCAGGACTGATAGCCTTGACGCATGCAGCACATCTGGGAAAAGGGAAATGAGTCAACATTTATACAGATTCTCATGCAACTTGAATGCTGTGGAAAGAGCAAGGATTTTTCACATCGTCAGGAAAAAAAATAACTACTGAAGAAGATATATATAACTTGCTAGAATCAATCCAACTACCTAAAGAAATTGCTGTCATATACTGCCCATCCTATACTAAGGACACTACAGCAAATAGAATCAATCAACGGTGCAAATCACTAGGAAGAGAAAGAAACCTACATACACCCTTATCACCCACAGTCTTTGGGGGAAGTAGAGTGGATGAACAGAACACTAAAACAAAAGGTACACACACTGTTTTAAAACAGCCAGAAGCACTGAATGTAGTTCTGTGGGATTTCTGAAACACTCTGTGACAAGCTGTAGGACTAACACCAGCAGAGATTCCCTTTGGGAGGCACTTATCTATACCAGGGACTCACATGCTGGCTAAGACCAGCCTGTTGGACAGAGATGAACGATTGACCCAGTACATTTTGTATACGCAACATGTGTTTGAAGAGAAAAGAAAATATGCTTAATGGTATCAACCTATACCACCTGAGATACAGCAACATGACATACAACCTGGAAGTAAAGTGTTAAATAAAGTATTTTCAGGAAAATCCAAATTAGAACCTAAATGAGAGGGACCATATACTGTCTTACTGTGATCTTACTACTTTGCTGTTAAAGTTTTAGGAAAATAAAATTGGATACACCATACTCATGTCAAGTGAGTGACAGACAGGTTAATGAATGATTGAAAATGCTGAAGAACACTTAGACTGATAAATATCACGTAGAACACCTCACTACTCGAAGCTTGGTGACCATCAGTAGATATTGCTGAGTTCATTTCTTCACAGGCTTCTGAAAATGAAAGGGCCTTCTTATAAGAATGAGGCATTTTGGAAGAACTGGAAGATCTAAGTATGGGGTTTTTTTTCTTCAGTTATACCAAGCACTTTGCATCATTCATCAGCAGTCCTGGCTAACTGGGGAGGTCTCAGTTGACCGAATGATGGCAAATGTGATGTCTGTCTACAAGACGGGCTGGAAGGAGGATCCAGGGTTTTACAGAGCTGTCAGTCTGACCTCATTGCTGGGGAAGGTTATGGAGCAGATCATCTTGAGTGCCATAAGGAGACACATAAAGGACAACCAGGTGATCAGGCACAGTTGGGTTGAGAGTGAGATACTGGAGAATGTTCAGAGAGGGGCAACAAAGCTAGTGAGGGGTCTAGAGAGCTAGTCTTATGAGAAGCACCTGAGGGAACTGTGGTTTTTCAGCCTGTAGGAAGGGAGCTTGTGGGGAGACCTTATCACCCTCTACAACTACCTGAAAGGAGGTTGCAGTGAGGTGGGGGTTAGTCTCTGTGGGAAAGTAATGGAAGATAGGTGAGGAGGACTGTAAACATAATCAAGTGAGCTGCACATGGGATGCTTGAAAACGCATATATCCCAATAATTGTTGTTTAGTCTTATGTGCTCAACAAGTAGAACATCTGCACGTAGATAAAGAAGGCCTGGGATGGGCCCAGGGGCACCTTATCGAACACACCCGAGATTCCTGCCCTGCTGTTGAAGAAGATCAAAGCACAGCGGAAAACTCTGCCTGCCTGAATCCTTGAAATGCAGGCGAGAACAGCAAGCATGAGCCCTCGCTCTCTCACTCCCTTGCTAACGAGGACTCTCTTGCTAATAAGAACTCTCTCTTGCTCTACAGTGCCTGCGTCCTCTGCTTGCCTGCCTCTGCCTGGGTGCTGCTTTGGAGTTTCCCCAATCCATGAGGTATGAAGATTACATTTGTTCTTTGCCTTTTATCTGTGGTTTTTTGGTTGTTCCTGTGTCTTGCCTGCATAGTCTAACACAGTCTCTCCTCCCAAGTGACAGGCAATAGGACAAGAGGAAACAGCCTTAAGTTGCACCAGGGGAGGTTTAGATTGGATATTAGGTAAAATTTCTTCACTGGAAGGGTTGTTAAGCATTGGAACATGCTGCCCAAGGAATCCCTGGACGTGTTTAAAAGACATGTAGATGTAGTGCTGAGGGACATGATTTAGTGGTAACTTAGCCCTTCTAAGTTAATGGTTGGACTTACTGATCTTAAAGGTCTCTTCCATCTCAAAACAATTCTATGATCTCCAGGACTGCGTTTTTCCAACTTATCAGGTGCGTGCCTAAGTGGATGATGAAGCCACAGTCCACCTACAACCAAAGCGAGCTGGATGCTGTGCAATCACATCCACATCACATGGCATACGCATGGGGTCCCACAGGCTCTTACTAAAAGGTGCTAAAGCCTTTTAGATTCCCAAATAAATCTCCGCCTGCCTTACGTAAGACCTTAGAATCACTTAAGATGTCAGATACCAATAAATACTAATATCCACCTCCAGCAGGGGCTTTATCTAACCTCTGCTGGGTTCACTGATCCCATACATACTTCACAGCAAAATCACTGAGCAAAATGAGTCCACCAGAGCATCCACGTTTCTGTAAATAGCTTATTTTTGTGTGTATTCAGCCACAAGTACAGTAGTCGCAAAAATACAAAGCATTTCTCAAGGAAATAAACGACGAAATGAAAGGACAAACACAAGCAAACAAAACTCACCTAGTAGAGAAACATGATGGTGATGGACAGTGACTTAGAGAATGAAACATTGCAGCAAAAGCCAGCTTAATAATATTAGTATTATTTGTACAAGAATGTACTCCCACCTTCTGGAGTTTTGCTCTTATTTTCTGTGCTTTCCTACATTTATTAGGATCATAGATAAGTATTTATTTAACAGAATTTGAGGTTAGAGAAAAAAGAAAGATGCACGGAGCTATAGCATTTGGCAGACAAGAGAAAAAAACCTCCACAACTGCTGAGGCAGAACCATTTCTCCATTTCCAAAACCGGCCTTGGAGACTATGATGGGTTAACTAACTGGGTAGGCAGCTGATCCCCCACCCAACCACTCATTCACTCATTCCCTCCCCCGAAACAGGATAGGGGAAGAGAATAGGAAAGGCAAAAGTGGGTGGAGACAAAGACAGTTTAGTAAGTGTAAGAAAAAAACCAACCCCAAAATAACCATAATAAAACCCACAACACCAAAAAACCAAATTGATGCCAAAGCAATCCCTCACCACCTCCCACCAGCAGACTGATGCCTAACCAGTCTCTAAGCAATGGCTACTTTTGAAAAAATTGGCCCTCAGTTTACTGGTGAGCATGGGGTCGTATAGTATATGGAGAATCTCTGGTCAGTTCAGGTCATCTGGGCTGGGTATGTCCCATCCCAAACTTGTGTCCACTCTATTCATGCCCTACTGGCCTTTGGGGTGGGGGAGTGTGTGGAGAGATGCTGTGTGAGCCTGCTCAGTAATAGCTGAAACATTGGTGTGTTATCAGCACTGTTTTAGTCACAAATCTAAAACAGCACCTGTTAAGACTGGTGCTTAAAGCTTAAAGCTTGAAGCTTAAAACAGGCTGCTGTTAAGAATATTAACTCCATCACACTCAGAAGCCTACAGAAAATTAAATATTCTTGAGCAACAGGTTTGACTGTTTTATAGCAAACTACATACTGAGTCAGTATATTTTTCCAATTATTATATTTGGTGGTGAGGCCCATATTTTAGTGAGTAACTTTTTTGAAGGTGTCGTAGTAGAGACTTTTTTCTTATACTTCATTGACTTTTTTTTTTCTCTTATTATGAAGGGAAAATTCATATTCTAGAATTCCTTTTATTTTTGTTAGCAGTTAAATATTCTTGCCCCTGTTTCTAATTATACAGAGAAAATTGTTTTACTCATTCAGAAATCAGAGAAGCTGGAAATGTTTTCTTCATGTACTTGTAACTGCATATTTTATTTTATTTTTTGCTATTTATGCAATTCTTTTCACTAGCAAGACAATAGTGCTGACTACTGAATTTGAAAAAAAAATCATACTATGGTTATTTCTTAAGAGTAGACAACACTTAGAGCACTAACTGTAAGGTATAGTTGTAAGGCATATATTGGTTAACTCCATGCCAACCGTATTTTGATTAATATGTATGTCAGCTTTGAGCTACAAAAATTATTCAGTCTAGCAGTGCTTAATTTTCTCAAAAAAACAACTGCAATTATATTATATACTGACAATGAATTGTCCAATAAATTCCAGTTAGTTGGTTGAGAAGACTGTCTATTGCCTCTAGACAGTCCAAACAGTGCTCAATGAGAACTTTATCTTAGGGTTGTTATGTAGTGTGTTGTTTGTTTATTTTTTCACCTAGTCATGGAAAGTACACAACTAATGGGGACATTGAGACTATCCCGTGTTAATACATTCTGTTAGTGTTGCTTTTCAAGTCTTTATGTAAAAAAACAAGGAAACAGATGTCTGATCTCCTAATGTTCAAAATAGGAACACAACTTAGTGTTCTGCTGTGTCAGAGATTTCTGCCAAAAAGTGAATGTTATCTCTAAGGTTGAGCAAAATCACGACAGCTAACTCAAAACTGGATGCACATGTTTTGTTGAATCAGGCCTTAAGATTTCCCTCCAATCCCATTTAAAGAAAGGCAACTGAAAATATGGCTTTCTGTAAAGATATTCGCACCACCTTAAATGTATAAATGACTGCTGCCATGTGATTTGGCAAAACACATGCTAGACAGTAATCAAAGATGTAAAGCCATCCTTGTTTGCTGAAGATTTTTTTTTTTGCATGCTTAAAACCAAGCAGATTCCAGAGTGCTTAATAAAATACATTTGGGCTTTGTGCTCCACTGGTTTGACAAATGGAGAATGTAATCAAATAAATGATGTAGGAGACATCTTTTTTACTGCCTCCTTTCCTTTGTGACCGAGAACAGAACCTCCTGGCTTCCTAGTTCTAGTCCCCCACAGTTCAGGAAAGAAGTAGAAATGTCACAAGGGTGACAGCTGCTAGTGCTAAGAACACATACCTGTTGTGCACTGTAATGACCCAACCCCAGCTGTTGTGAAACAAGAACTGTAAAAAAACAAAAAGAAAAAGAAAAAAAGAGACTTTATACATATATTTTTAACTTATTTTTCATATCATTATGTTTGAGTTGAAAATTAGGTAAATGGAGTTCATCCATTCAACTTCTTCATGCTTTTTCTGTCTCATTAGCTCCATAGCGCAGGCAAATGATAAATGCTTGTAATATTGTTGTATTTTAAGTGCATTCTAGAGACTGGAAACACATTGAACAGACTGTTCAAGAAACCGTATTGTTCTTGTTCATTGTCATTAGTGGCCCATGTATTTTGATTCTTGTGAGGTAATGACATATAATAACAAAGGTTATTTTCAAATCTTACTACAGATACTTTGTTCAGCTCATTTCTATGGGAGATAACCACATCTATTGAGATAATGCACCAGATGTTATTCGGGGAATGACTATCAATTTGAAACAATATCTGTAAAATAATCTATTTTCCAAACGCAAATTGCTTTCTCTACATCCCCTTTTCTTCCCAGCATAACCACCCTGTAAAACTCTGCCTTTCTAGTGTGCAATTCCTTGACACTGCAAAGCGTCAGCTGAGAATTTCAACTGATACCTCTTTGTTGTTCCCTTTCCAGTCCACAACAAATTTCTTCTATACATTCTGGGAAATATATTTTTCACTTCTGCAAACATTCATAAAGGGAAGGTATATAGATTCTAAACAGTATCTCTTACACCTTGAATACAGAATTACTTTTGCTATAACTTCTAGTAAATCCGTCTTTTGTACCAGACATCAGATATAACAAAACTTCATTTCATTCCATCACCCTTCCAAAAACTCATCTTGCATGAAAGCGGGTCTTGCTCTTTCACATGCACCACAGAAAATGCATTGAGGACTCTTCTCTTCATTTCAACACTTCTGTCCTCCATCATTAATTCAAATGCATTTCAAACTCTGACCTCTCTGGGGCAAAGATTTTCTGTGCTAATACCTTGCCTAGTCTGGAAGGGACTCAATTCTGACTCCACAGAAGTAACAAAACACTATGCACTACGTTTTATTTAATCTGTGTAACAACACTAAAATCAGTTGGGGATAGAAGCCCAATAGAAGATGCATGGCTTCTTTATTTAAACAGAAACACATTAAAAATACTCCTCCACTCCTCTACTGATTTGCTGAAGTGGTAGCCAGTGCTTCTCACAGTGCTTGTAAAGTAGTGCTTGTGGGATAGAGACCTCAATTTCCATCATATCAACTACTGGAGGTACATATTGCACTACTTTCATAGGACATTCCTTCTGGTACTGGACTACCACAGCCACTGAGAATAGATTTTCCCTAAGAAAACCAGGTATGTGATACATAGGACTCTCCACCACAATGCTTCAATGCAATTTAAAATGCATCTTCTCTATCTTCTTCTCTATAATAAACTTTATCTTTTCATTTTCTTGAGAGTAACAGAGTCTGTTGTGACCTTCTTGCAGAAAAAAATGAATACCTGAATACATCAGAGGTTATTTTTAAAATGCCAAGTCCATATTTTTGCCTGCATGGCCATTGGTCACATAAGCATGGCCAAAATATGCCTTAACTTAAAAAAAATATGGAAAAAAAGTCAGTAATGGTATTGTAGCACATTGCTATTGTCATTGTTCCATGGATTTGAAGATAATTACTTGAATTTCCATGCCCACTTCAGTTTGAATGTCAAGATTGGGAACACTTTGAAGTCATCTGATTTTAGCTATCAAGCTATGTGATAGCGGTCAGAATTTGCCTTATGTGCTAAGGAGAATTTAAAGTGGTAAACAATGCCTATCATAGTACCCCCTAGTAAATCCCTGTGTTCATTCAAAGGCAGTTTCTGTGTGTTCAGACTACTGTGTGTGTTTGCAGTGCAAGGAGACAGCCTCGTAGCACTCTACGTAGTTCAGATAATAACAGCTGTGAAGATTCTATGGAATAAATTTAAATCTTCCAAGAAAAGGGGGCAGTAGATTGCCAACCCCTAGAAAAGTTCATGCCTCCACATCTGAAGTGCTATTGTATCTTTTCTGGACATGTGTGTTTAGCTATGTCTAGTGAGTTCATGTGAGCTTACAGGTCTTGCAATTAATATCCTCTGAAAGCAGTCGAGAAATACCACCTCTTCAAAAAGACTATCCTATCTCAGAAGACTGATGTTTTAATGATAGCGAGAGCCTGAAAAAACACCCTCTAAGTTTGTCCTCTGCTGCCAAACGTTAGGGCAAGTGAGTATGTAATCATTGTTAATGCTGTATTTCTTTCATCTAATTTTTTGGGAGAAATTAAAGAAATTCTTCAGTTCATTCCCTGCAAGTAAAATGTTGGAAGATCCTAAAAATAATCCCCTCTTAAAGAAAAGAAAATGTCAGTGGATACAATTTTATCTAATTGAATCATATCTCTGTTAAAGCAAAAATGTATAGGTCAAAATATGTTGTTGTTGGACCACAAGCTGAACATGAGTCAGCAGCGTGCTGCTGCAGCAACAAAGGCAAATGGGGCCCTGGGTTGCATCTGCAGGGACATTACTAAGAGAGATGTGATCATCCCATTCTCCTCATTGCTTGCCATGCTGCACCTGGAATACTGTGTCCAGTTCTGGTCCCCATAATTCAAGAAAGAAGTGTACAGGCTGGAGGGAATCCAAAGGAAGGCCACGAAGGTGATCAAAGGGCTGGAGAACCTGCCCTGTGAGGAAATACTGAAATACAGAAACACAGAATGGTTTGGCTTGGAAGGGAACTTAAAGACCACCCATTCCCACCCCCTGCCCTGGGCAGGGACACCTCCCACTAGACCAGGTTGCTCCAAGCCCCCTCCAACCTGGCCTTGAACCCCTCCAGGGATGGGGCACCCACAGCTTCTCTGAGCAATCTAGGCCAGTGTCTCACACCCTCACAGGGAAGAATTTCTTTGTGATATCTAATCTACATCTCCTCTTTTCCAGTTTAAAACTGTTGCCCCTTCTCCTGTCACTACGTGGCTTGGTAAAAAGCCCCTGGAGCCTTCTCTTCTCCAGGGACTGCCTCAAACCCAGGTGCAGAACCTTGCACTTGACTTTATTGAACTTCATGGGGTTCACATGGCCCCACTTCTCCAGCCCGAGGTTCCTTCTGGATGGCATCCCCTTCCATGCATTGGTCGCAGCATGGATCCTCGTGGGACACCACTCAGGTCAAAACAGTTTTAAGGAAGACACCTTCAACAATGTTAGAGAAGCAACATCCAGAGTTCAGCACTGGGGTGGAAAGTGCAGTTCTGCCAAGGACAGAGATCCTTGCTGGAAAGGAGCATACTGAGAAGCTTCTTGCCTCATGCTGGCTCCGGGTGGCAGCAAAGCCAGAGCAGCCAGGAAGCTTTTCAACTTTCAAACCTGTGGTTGATTTGTCAGAAAAAGCTTCCTGTACATCGGATTGAGCAGCATCAAAACACTACAGCAAACATGGAGTCTGATATGTGTGAACTGCGCGGGGTCAGTGAGCTCCTACCAAAACAGAGGAGAAAGCCCATGTTTCCTGAGAAATCTAGGGGGAAGCATGGGGCAGGTTGAAAAAAGTCTTTGACTGGAAGTAGAAAAAAACAGTTGAATAACACCTCACACCTGTCATTTCATGGAGAATAAAATCTTTGGGTCCAAGGCCACACAGGTGAGAACCAGCATTAACAACCCCTGGAAGTAAAAAGAATGAAGAAACTTCTACCATCATTGTGAGGGGCGATTTCACAGCACCAGGGACGGTCCTTTGCTATTTCCAGTGAAAAATTAACCCTACAATCTAAGGCCCATTTCCAAAGAGAGTATTCTCTTGTTATTCCAGTTAAGAACCTAGATTTGAGATCTTATATCCAATTTAATCAGCCTCTGTGGTGAGCAGGAGGGAGCCTAGGCTAGACCATCATATCACCTTATGGTAAAGATCCTTGTCAGGGAAATTAAGGAGTTAGGTCTTTTCTCCCTGGAGGAGAGAAGAATTGTGGGGACCTCATCATATTGTCCCAGTACTTACAGGGAGGCTACAAAGAGTCTGGAGACTTTCTTCACAAGGAACTACAAGGGTCAGCGGGTACAAGTTGCAAGCGGGATAAGTTTCAACTCAATATAAGAAAGAATTTTTTTTAAAGTAAACAGTCATTCACTGGAACAACTCCCCCAGAGACATGGTAGAGTCCCCCTTGCTGGAGGTTTACAAGATGTGACTGGATAATCTAATCGAGGCTCCCTTCCCCATGAAAGGTTGGAGTAGATGATCCCTCCCAAACCTGGGCTCTTTCGTGATTCCATGTTTCTCTGACGTGTATAAAGCAAAATTCTGAACATGGACTATTTGTTTCTATAATGAGCAAATACAGGACTTGTTTAGATACACAGTTCAATTTATGGATGCAAATAGTAACTCGAAATGAAACCCAGAAATATATGACATGCTGTTTTCAAAGCAAAATATGAACTCTGGACATTGGCAATTAAGCATTCCCTACGTTTTCTAGCTGAATATGCAAATTTGAAATTCAAATTGGACTTCTATAAAAAACTTACACAGGCAAAACCACTAAGAACATAAGCAGTCCAAAGTTTAAGCCTTTTTTTGCTCTAACTTTCATTATTTCACCATCATTTCAGTTAAGGGCAAGGCACTTTAGTAGGTTATCATTTTGCTCCTCCCAACTGTTTCAAAGATGAAGAACAGTTTCCCCTGACAAAACATGTACTGGATGGTATTTTTAGATGGAGAGTTTACAGCAGGAAATTTACTGCAGCTAGAAGGAGGAAGGCACTTTAAGAAGGTGACAGTGTTGTTTGCATAATAGCTTTGCCTGTTGCAAACTAAGGGCAATAGCTGAACTGACTTAATAAATTACATACATTTTTCAGTAGCTAAAGAGAAGCATGTGGCAGATTCTGGAAGAAAACGGGTCAAAAGGCTGATTATATGAAGTAAAAAAAAAATAATTATGGGATATGCTGTTAAAACGTGCATTTGCCAACACAGATAAACAGTGCTATTTAAAGCAGATTTACAGGACAAAGGAATCTAATGACCTGTAATTCAGGGACATAAGGCTTTTAGGATGGGAGGAGCTGATGTGCTTCTGGCCTCTCACTTGATGCTGTGCAGCTTCTTGGTTAAGACAGGGTCCCAAGTTTGGATCTAGCGTTTTCCGTGGGTGGCCTAAGTTCCTGCCCCATTCATGTGCAGTTTGTTCTATTGTTAACAATTTCCGTATTCTGCCCTTTGATGAGATTTTGCAATATTAAATTTGAGGCCATAGGTTATTAACACCATTGAACAAAGGGCATCATAGTCCTCTACACCACTTTTACGCAGCTGCAGGACTATTTTTAGGACCAAAATGGAACTGTGGTGGCAGTTAGGTCTTGGAATTGACCACAGTGGAAGATCTGTGTTGTTCCTCCAAGGTAACTTTTTTAACCTTTAGGTACTGGACATATATATGCACGCAAGTGAATGATATCAGAATATGTTTGTTGGATTTAAAATGGGAAAGGGCCAGAAGAGGTGATACTAGCTGAGGAAACAAAGTTGTACTGCTCTCTAGATTAAAGAAGTTGGCAGGGATGGAGAGGAAGCACAGTGAACTAAAGCTCAGACTATGTCCACTGCATCTCTGGATGTTGTAAAATGAAAACTGAACCTAATTGTGACGGGTCTGAGCCAAATACTCGTGAAGTCAACCTCTTCTCTTTTATTGGGAGGGTGGGGTTGGTCAGACTCAAAATTCTGCTTGTCTGATTTAAGCTACCTTTGGTGTGAAGTGGCTGCAGAACAACTTACGCCTAGGACGTCATTAGGGGTAGCGAGAAACCTAAAGAGAAGAGCAGAAAAACATTAGCATATCAGCAAATCTCTTTTTATATATTCAACACACACACATACATATATATAAAGGTACATTGGATCTTGCTAGCATTCGCAGTAACACACACTGTTATGAAGATGCTGCTGCACATGTGCACCCTGGCACTGTTGATCTATCCCGTTCACACACTATATTTATTTTTTGTCTTTCGTTTTCTCTGGGATTTTATCAGTTCTAGAAAATGGGCAGTACTCTTATTGTCTTGAATCCAGAAAGTCCATTTGATAGTCATTGCAGGCTTGATGTGCGGCACTCTTTGTTAAGAAACACAGTGATCTTTACATAAACAGGCTGACCTTTGTAACTGGCATTTTGTCAGGATGGGCTGAGGGTGGGAGGGGGAGAGAAGAGGGGAGAGGAACCCGGGCTACTTGTTGCTGTGAGATAAATTGTATTCTGAGGCAAACAGGCAAAGTGCTATGCCTTTCCCTTTCATTTTTATAACTGCATAATGAATCACACATATGCCTACATATTTAAGAGCTACTACACTTAAAATGGACACTGCATTTTTTTTTTCTTTACCGAGCCTAACATCCTTCCTTCACTCCTTTTCTTCCCTCCTCCCTGAAGAAAAAACCCAATAAAACCCAGAGCAGGCTAAATCATTGCTCGGATCAAATCACTCTACAGTTCTTTAGTATAAAAATGATTAAACATGCTGACAGGAACAAATCAATGTGATGGCAGAGGAATCTTGGTTTTCTGCAGTTGCCAAATCTCTCCCAACCGATTCTGGAAAGGGAAAACTGCCATACACGAACACTTCACACTGCTGCCGAGAGAGATAACCGGGAGAAGACAAAACTGGCTTCCAGATTACTAGTACCGAATTAGTTACGCCTACCTATACATAGGGAAATAAGTGTTTATTAGCCATCAACGTTTGTGTCTGCTTGCAGCACGTATGTAGGAGAGGGACCAGCAGAGGGGGGACCACGACACCAAGCTCCACAAAAGCTGGCGCTGCTCCCTTCTCCCACACACACCTTGACATTCAGCGCACACTCCCAGCCGCTGTGCGAGGACAAGGGAGATTTTTTTTTTTTTTCCACCCAGCCCAGCTCGTGATTTCCATACTGAGAGCCTAAAAGCGCCGGGAAGGGGAGGATGG